TCTCTCTCTAATACATCCAATTCTGATGTTAGGCAGTTATGAAGCTGATTTCTCTGACTATATAATAGAAGAAGTGGATATTATAATATAATGATGAAGATATTCTCAATTATATGTCTTTATATCCTAAGAAAACTGAGTTTCTATCAAAATGTAATTATGAGATCTATGATAAAGAAACTTTCTCACAATTATACACTGTTTAGAAGAATAAGGCTCTGAACCTTCAAAGTATCTCTGAACTTGAGATAGTCACAGCTTATAAGAATCTTAAATACACCATTCCTATCTATGATCTCCCCGCATAATCGACGCCATAATCTGAGGTCTAAAGTCACATGCAGACCGCCTTATACGATGAGTCCATCATTCAGATCTCAGCGACAAATCCTCTCTCCTACCAGGAGTACTCTGGCGCGGGCACCGTCACCGCCGGCTTCCAGAGACATTCCGTGGTTCACATGCAGTATGATAAGGTCATCCGCACTCCGGGCGGTCAACCGTCGCCCCAGCCTACGCATCTGGGTATTCCAGGCGGCACGCACCGCGTGTTGTCGGAGGAAGGGCCGGGGTATGTTGCGGCGAAGTTTGAGGGGAAGAAGAAGCAGATGGAGGCTGGTGAGTTTATTTTATTTACTTGCTATTCGTTTATTCATTCAGTGAATGCCATAGGTTTCTTTGACAGCTATGACAGTTGGCTAAAGCATTTACAATTATAAATAGTTATGGACCAGCTCGAGGAGAAGGGATTCATCCCGATCGAATTCGTCTCGTCGGAAACAACTGGTTCTACAACATGCTTGGCATCGACGACATGTACTTCAAACCGAGACGTCGACGCCATCGTCAGCCATATCCTCTCCCTCTACGCCGCCAAGGTGGCCGCATATGCCCGTGATGATTAAGCGTCTGGAGATCAGGTTGGATAAGGAGGCTGCCGACCACGCTGTCTACATCGACACTAGCAAGCCTGGAATAAGCGCCATCGACGGGCCGCGGTATGAACAGCGCATCGACGAGAAATACATCAATGGCTCCACCCCGAAGAACGCCTATCGTGTGGAAACTTTCCGTTCCGCCAGCTCCCTTCCAGATAACCATGAGCAGCAGCTGCGTTGCTACTTCGTCTACAAGTGTCACTTCAGCGAGCCGCATCCGGACCCGGAGGAGACGAATATTGAAATTGTGGGTGAGAAGCGCTTCTTGCAAAAGGCTACCGCCAACACAAAGGCCATCTACCAGGAGATCATTATCAATGCTGTGGCTAGATCTGGCCCTGTCATTGAGATGTTTGAGATTGAAGGCAGCCGTGAAAAGAGACTGGTGATCGCGTACCGCCAGGGTTCCGCTATGGGCATGTTCAGCGCCCTGTCTGACCTCTACCACTACTACCGCCTTACAAGCTCGCGGAAGTACCTAGAGAACTTCTCCAATGGTATCACTGTAGTCTCTCTCTACCTGAAACCCATGGAAGGCGCAGAAATCTCCGGGAAATACCCACCCATCGAAGCTGCGATCCATCAGATCATGAAGGAGATCTCCTTGCTGTACTGCATTCCTCAAAACAAGTTCCAGAGCCATTTCGCCAGTGGCCGTCTTAGCTTACAAGAAACTATCTACGCCCACTGCGTATGGGTGTTCGTGCAGCAGTTCCTGAACCGCCTGGGATCCGAATACACCTCCCTAACCGCCCTCCTCGATTCGAGCAATAGCTCACACGCTGAGCTCCTTTCAAAGATCAAGAAGAGACTTCGTACCGAAACCTTCACCTCAGACTATATCCTTGAGATCATCAACAAATACCCCCAACTCATCCACAAGCTGTACCTTGATTTCGCCACAACGCATTACGTTCAGATGGTTGAGGGAGTGCCCGATGACTTCCTCCCCACGCTCAGCTACTTGCGTCTGCAGGTAGATGAGCCCCTGGACCACGACCGCCTCGACGAGCTGATCTCCAAAACCGTGGTCAGCGAGAATGACGAGATGGTCATGAACTCGTTCCGTGTCTTCAACGCTGCGGTTCTCAAGACTAACTTCTACACCCCAACCAAAGTCGCTCTCAGTTTCCGTCTCAACGCGGATTTCCTGCCCGAACACGAATACCCCCAGCGCCTGTACGGAATGTTCCTTATCATTAGCTCTGAGTTCCGCGGCTTCCATCTCCGTTTCCGCGATATCTCCCGTGGCGGTATCCGGATAGTCAAGAGTCGTGACAAGGAAGCCTATGCCATCAATGCCCGCTCGCTATTTGATGAAAATTACAACCTGGCCAATACCCAGCAGCGGAAGAACAAGGATATCCCCGAAGGCGGCGCCAAGGGTGTTATCCTGCTCGACGTCAACCATCAGGACAAGGCGAGAGTGGCCTTTGAGAAATACATCGACAGTATCCTCGACCTGCTCCTCCCGCCCGCCAGCCCTGGTATCAAAGACCCCATCGTCGACCGCCACGGACAGGATGAGATCCTCTTCATGGGTCCTGATGAGAACACTGCTGAGCTGGTCGACTGGGCAACTCACCATGCGCGAAAGCGGGGTGCCCCCTGGTGGAAGTCCTTCTTTACAGGCAAGAGCCCCAAACTCGGCGGTATCCCCCATGACAGATATGGTATGACCACCTTATCCGTCCGCCAGTACGTGCTCGGCATCTACCGCAAGACAGGCATCGACCCATCCACAGTCCGCAAAATGCAAACCGGCGGACCCGATGGCGACCTCGGCTCCAACGAAATCCTCCTCGGGAACGAGAAGTACTGCGCCATCGTCGATGGGTCTGGCGTCCTGGTCGACCCGCAGGGCCTCGACCGCGACGAGCTCGTCAGACTAGCCAAGAAGCGCGCCATGATTGTCCACTATGATGCATCCAAGCTATCCCCTGAGGGCTACCGTGTTCTCGTCGACGAGACCAACGTAACCCTCCCGGACGGCGAAGTCGTCCACAACGGCACCGTCTTCCGCAACACCTTCCACCTCCGCGGTGGGCGGGCCTTTGACATCTTCGTCCCCTGCGGCGGGCGCCCGGAGTCCATTGACCTCAGCAACGTCAGCAAACTGATCGAGAACGGCAAAGCCGTTATCCCCTACATTGTCGAGGGCGCCAACCTCTTCCTAACCCAGGATAGCAAGATCCGCCTGGAAAAAGCCGGCTGCGTCCTCTTCAAAGACGCCTCCGTCAACAAGGGTGGCGTCACCTCTTCATCCCTCGAGGTCCTCGCCTCCCTATCCTTCGACGACAAGGGCTTCGAGGATCACATGTGCGTGCGCGAGGACGGGACCATCCCGCCATTCTACGACGCGTACGTGCGCGAGGTCCAGGAGACCATCCAGCGCAACGCGCGCTTGGAGTTCGAGGCCATCTGGCGCGAGCATGAGGAGACTGGGATGCCGCGCAGTATGATCAGTGATAAGCTTAGTCTTGCGATTACGAAGCTGGATGAGGAGTTGCAGGAGACGGAGCTGTGGGATAATACGGTTTTGAGAGAGGATGTGCTGCGGGATGCGTTGCCGAAGCTTTTGTTGGAGAAGATTGGACTGGAGACGATTTTGGAGAGGGTGAGTCTTCTTCTTTCTTCTTCTTTTTCAATTTTTAGTTATTCTCCCCCATATTTCCCGAGTCCACCCATAGGGTGTGTGACGAAATTTCATGTCTAACACCCCAAACTCAATTAGGTCCCATCCAACTACCTCCGCTCCATCTTCGGCAGCTACCTTGCCAGCCGCTTCGTCTACGAGTACGGCAGCAGCCCGAGCCAGTTTTCTTTCTTCGATTTGTACGTATTTCCTCAACAACAGCTCTTCACCTTTTTTCTTTCAAATCACATGCATGCGCAGCCACAGACACAAACTAACAAACTGTCTCATATATAGCATGTCCAAGAGAACCGCGAAGCTCATAGATCGACAGAAATGATTTTAATCTATTCTGACAACCCCCCCCAAAAAGAAGAAAGATCAAGAGAATGGGGAGTGATGACTGTCTTGCGCTGCACCGCATATCTACACCGGGATTTAAATGGCAAAAAACAAAAAGAAAAAAAAATAAGAAAAAAAAAAGACAAGAAAAATGCTCTATTAATAATAATACTCGCTATCCCTCCCTACCCCCTACCCCCTACCCCCTACCCCCTACCCCCTACATCAAAACAAAATCCAAATCAAAAAAGCAGAACAAGAAAACAAGATTCCCCGATCAAAACAAATCGAGCAAAAAAAAAAAAAAGAAAAGAAAAGAAAAGAAAAGACTAACTACTCCGTACATGGGTTAATAATGAATTTCATAATTGTTTTAACAAATGTTTTATTTTTATTTTTGTTCTGTTTTCTTTTTAACTTCTCATGCCATAAATCCCAGGAATCTACACATGATTATCGCATATATATCTCAAAATCACTCTTTTCTTTCCTCACCATGCATTGTACACATGTATATATCTGAATACCTATTTACCATTTACCTCTCTCTCTCTCTCTCCCTGCCATTTTTCTCCCCCTAACAAGACACCTAGCCTACCTTTTTGGTTGTGGTATTCCCCCATTTTGCCACAATCCTCCCGTCGTCGTAATATTGTTGTTACTAGTTTACTCGTCATCTCCAATCTACAACAAATCTTTTCCATCAACACTCACCTCCTACTCCGTATCTCTCATGATGTCTTTCTCCTCTCCTCCCGGTTCCTGGGTTTTGTAGACGACGGCGGGGCCCGCTAGATGCCGTACATGTACCATGTACAATACGTAAACAGTACGTATATACATACCCCTAGAGTTCCGTCTAGCGTCCAGCCAGCGATTTTCATTTTCCGCGGGAGAAAAGCAGAAGGTGCTTGCTCTAGATTATTATTATTATTATTATGATTATTATTATTTCTTTCTGGAGGCAAAGATTGCACGATATTGCGATGATGTTCAAAACAACTAGTTAATGGATACTATCCCCCCCCTCCCCCCCTCCCCCCCTCCCCCCCTCCCCTTTCTTTGAACTGCTCGGTATCTTCATCTTGCCGTCGTTGTTCGTTGTATATATATATAACGTATATAAGGCCGCAAGTATCCCCGTCCATCTTAATGTAATCTTAAATGTATGTTTATTCCCCCCTCGTCTCCCCCATGAAAAGGAGGCTCATGTCCCCGGTATAAATTGGGTTGGTTGATGGAGTGTGATATGGTGATATGGGCGTGATGACCCGCGGGGGGAAAGGGGGGGGGGGGGGGGGGGTCGAGTCTAGACATAAAGCGTGGGTTATCATCTCATAGATAGCTTGTGCGAGTGAGGTAGGGCAGGGTAGGGTGAGGTGAGGTGGGAGAAAAGGGGGAGGAGATAGAAAAAGAAGAACGAGGAAGACAGACAGACCGACTTCAATTGGGAGGTAATGGAGTTCAAGTATGGAGGTTTAAGCATTGAGGCGTAGGGGATATTGTGAAGAAGAAGAAGATAATATTCGGTCTGGCGAGACACACATTTCCCATTTCCCATGCGATAACCTCTTCTTGCGCGCTTTTCCTTCGATAGTACAGTTGACAATATACGGAGTACAGTTTGTTGTTTAAAAAAAAAAAAAAAAAAAAGGGGACGACAAAACGCCGAATAATGGAAAACAAAACATATGGAACCGTGGGAAGTGAGAAAGCACAGTGGTTTTTGGATGCACTTGTCATAAAAAGTAGATAGTAGAGGCTTCAATAAAAGAGAGAAAACCATAAATTATTCTCGGAAGCACGGAGGGGGGGGGGGGAAATAAAATAAAAATCAACACATCAACACATCAAATGAGAAAAGCGCAAGGACAGACGCAAAACTAGAAATTCCAGATGAGTCCAGCAGATCCATTACATACAACCCTCCCTCCCCAACAAAGAAGAATCCATACATCATCAACTTCCCGCGCTCAGACAGATAATACACACAAACGGATCCCTTCCCTCCCCAATCAGCCCTTCTAGTTTGCAGTCACTTCAGCCACAGCCGGCGCAGTCGCGGGACGAGCCATGGCAGCATCAGATACAGCCAACTCAGCAGCCGCGCTCGCAGCAGTACCCTTGCTATTCGCCTTTGGCCCTCTCTTTGCTACGACCCCCTTTGGTTTCCTGCCAGGCTTCCCCGCGCCCTTGGTCTTTGCAGCTGCACTCTTAGCAACTTTCTTGGTGACGCCCGCTGCAGCCGATGCTTTAGGTTTGGGCCCGCGTTTGCTGGATGCGCCCGAGCTAGAGCTCTGTTTTGGCTCGCCCTTGCCTGCCTTGGGCTTTGAGGTGGTGCTGGCACGACGTTTCTTTGAGGCTGGGGAGGTGGAGATCGGTTCGATGATGCGGGGGCGCGCGTTGCCGGTTGCGCCGCGGGTGACTGCCATTGTAATTATTTTTTATTTTGTTTCTTGGTTTGAGATTGGATTTGACGGTTGGGATGGGGGACTGGGGTGGTTTCGGTGAGTTGTTTTTGCTCGCGCTGGGCGGAGACGTGACTCTGTTGAGTTAAAACTTGGCGGTTATCAAATAATGATATGATAGTTATTGGTATAATAATGGGGGAAGCAGCAAGTTAAAGCTTTTGACACCTGTTAATATATTTTTCACAACATTTCGGAGCCTTTGAGGGGGGGGAAACAACAAGGAAGTGATTTGTAGCGGTAAATCTACGCGTCGCTGAGCTTTATAGATGATCGCGTAGGGACGACAGCCGCGAGAAAGCAGAATCACCCCTTGCTTTTGAACCGGAAATGAATTTTCAAACCTTTCGCGGGTAATGGAAAAAAAAAAAAAAAAAAAAAAAAAAAAAAAAAAAAAAAAAAAAAAAAAGATGCTAGCTAGGCAGAGCGCGCCTCTGGCAGCGGTTGATGGAGTTCAACCGATTTGTGAGACTGGGATGAGGCGGCGCAATCAAAGCAACATGATAAACATTGACCATAACAAGAGGAGAAACGCGCCGCTCACCTTGAGCTGGTTTTGATGCAAAGAAAATGTTGGGATTATCACGAATTTGATAGATAGCAATAATTCAAATGTTCGCGACTTTGGATCCTGAGAGATGGAAGCAAAGAAGTGCGAGAGGGTTGGGGGGAATATTAGAAAGAGGTTGAAGTTGGCGAGGGGTTGGAAGGGGGAAGATTTGATTTTTGATTGAGCAAAGCCCATGTCCATCTTTTTCCCGCCGAACCTCAGCGGTTGGAGAGAAGCAAATCAACAACACTCAAAAAGGCCGTACCGTACCGCTAGCTAGATTATTTATATATAGTAGTATATATAATAATACACACTGAACATGAATCCTTCCTTCTAACACCTTTCAACTTATTATAAACTAAAGTTAACTTATGGTGGCTGAGTTATCTGATATCCAATTGCAAAGAAAACCTGCCCCAATGCCGCCAATATGTAACCCGTTCTGATGACTGAGATGGGGCTACCAATACTGCAACCCGTGATGATAGTTCCTCAAGCGGGATCAGATTCAATTAATCTGTCATCATTAAGATATCCCTTTCCCTAGGAAATGAATATTAAAAATAATGAGCTCCCCTGGCGGCAACATCCAGAGCCTGTTGCACTGAAACACGCAAGTTCTATCAAGCAGTGAAAGGACTCCCAACATGTTACGGCATCTTGCTAGATGTCAGGCAGGTAATCAATCGGTTGGTGGGAGAACGGCGCAGGTTTCGATGCCCCCCCCCCCCCCCCGGTGTATTTTCAGAGCTCAAGCTGGAAGCGCATGTTGACGATGGCCACTCGCGCCCAAAAACCAAATGAGTAATATGCCTTAGCCTCAGCATTCTCTGCAGAACTCTTGAGCCGTCTAACGAAATGTGCTTGCGAACTATGCTGCATAATAGAGACTCGTCTGGAAACGTTGTAGAGAATGGAGATGGACCTGAGCAAGTGAAGAAATGAGGGAAACAGGAAATAGCTGTTTTCCGCTTTGGGCGATTCCCCGATCCAGACTTAGGGCTTAAACCCTAACTCCGCAAAGGGCCTGTGAAGAATATCATAACAATGAAGGAAGAGAGTCAACCTGCCATTAGATTTTATAATAGCCTTTTATTCTAGAAATACTGTATTCCAGCATCATGTTCCAATTCTTCAGCAGACTATCCGAACACACGCTGTTGCCTCCAATTGGAAGCTCTTTTTAATCTTTCTGCTTGCAAGTTCCAGTCAGGAGTATAATCACGTGATGCAACCCAGTGGCCATTCTTAATCCGGTTTAAAGCTCCCAGCCTGGAGCATTACATAATCCGCCGTGCCGAAGGACACACAGAATCGCGATCAAAATTATCTCCACCGCTTGCACTTCTCGACAACGCCCGACGACGATACATACCGACTCCGACCCCGACAAGACCAGCAATCCCCTCCATCCCTCCACGATCTTCTCAAGATGACGCACGATTCCGTTTACTACAGTCGTCCCAGGACCTATGGCAAGGGAAGCCGCCAGTGGTAAGCATATATCACCCATGCACTTTTTCGCTCCCCGAGGAATAGTGATAGTAGGAGATCGGGAAAAGAGGTTCGGAATAGGCTTCTTCGGAGGGGTAGACTTTATATGACGGAAAAAGGAGAAAGTGATTTGGAGATGATGGAAATACAGGAAGAGAGGGGAATGTGGGGGACCGGGGAGAAGAAATGTCAGATTTGGATTTTTGGAAGCTGTTTCACTGATTTATGCAAATTTCTTCGACATAATATAGCCGCGTCTGCGCACACAAGGCCGGTCTCATCCGCAAGTATGGTCTGATTGTCTGCCGTCAGGTAAGCGAAAACTAATACACACTCCAATTCAATAGCTTCGCCTCAGTTTATATTGAGAAGCGTTGCGGCGCGGCACTGGGAATTCAAGTCGCTAACGTTTTCTCTTTCTGGGTTGTAGTGCTTCCGTGAGAAGGCCGCCGATATTGGCTTCGTCAAGGTAATTATTGATTC